TAAATATTGTATTTTATTACAAAACTAAAAGTAAAACAAACACACGATAATAAGTGGTAAAAATAATAAGCACAACGCGTTTCAACCATAACTGGTCTTCCTCAGGTGCATAACTTACTGAGTTTGCATCATTCTATTATATACATACAGATAATTAGAACATTCAAAACACATGATAAAAAAGCCCATATATGGCATTTCTGTTTAATTCCTCCATATTGGAAAGGTCAGACAGCCTTCTACCCACAGCAAACCTCCCAAAGTATATACAAAACCCACCCACAACATAACCATAAATACTTGTCATTAAATTCTTTACACAGGACTAAATCTAATGATAGAGTGATTAGACAGTCCAAGATAACTATAGGGCGATACAGGGCTATCTTGCCAATATGTGCTATATCTGATAAACAGGGGTTTTAGACAATCCAATATTAGTGTGATTACAGGCATTGCATCTATAAACAGAAAACCTTAGATCAGCACTACTACTGAGCAAAAGAACTTACCATACAGTTTGGACCATGTGGCAGGGTTTCTAAGGGACTTCTTACTGATATCAAACAGCTTTTGAACAATACTATCAGCCAGCCTAATAATGTACAAAACTGATTAGATTAGTGTATTGTTATTAATCCAATAGGGGGGCATTTTCAATGTCATTAAGACTCGCTATACCAGATCGCTTTTATTTACATGTGGAATATGGATTTTTATAAATCATGTTAGCTGCAGAAGGTAACCACTATAAACCACCACAAGTAAAGCATAGCTTTCCGTCCTCCACGTATCCCTTGGTTACACTCACATTGAGCAGTATATAACCATTAAAGTGCAACTTGTGTGGCAATACACTAATCTTCTACATGAGATACTTTGTGTTTCTTTATAAAGTTACATAGAATATTATGTCCACTAAATCGTGTTAGTGATCACCTCATGTTATTTTCTAAGCAAGCGAGCCGTTAAGCTCACCTTTATATCTCTTTATTCGGCATAGGTACCAACTCAGGATAGAGTTCCTTAGCACTATTTTTAGACATTCTGCCTTATTAGTCAATAATATATCCAGGCATTAATCAGGAAAATTCGTACTATAGCGATATCCTGCAATAAACTGTTGGAATAATCAAAAATATTAATTATCCCAATACCACATTAATCCATTCAATATCCCTATAGATATCTACATCTAATTTGGATATAGATACAATTGAGCTAATTATATCCATTAATTTGGACTGATCAACGGGTTAGCCTTAGATGAAATCTTCCTATGTATAGTCCGGTTTGTGAATAGATTTCCACACAATGGTTTGTATTGGCCTTGAATATATTTGTATAATGTTATCATATGCCCTCTCAGGTGACGTTTTTCTAAACTAAATAGGTTTAAATTTGTTAACCTTTCTTCATAGCTGATATGTTCCATTCCTTTTATTAATTTTGTAGCCCGCCTCTGCACTTTTTCTAGTGCCATAATATCATTCTTTAGAACAGTCGTCCAAAATTGCACAGCATATTCAATATGTGGTCTTACCAGTGATTTATAAAGAGGCAAAATGATATTCTCATCCCGAGAATGAATGCCCTTTTTCATTCATGACAATACCTTACTGGCCTTGGCCACTGCTGATTGACATTGCACATTGTTCCATAGTTTGTTGTCATTTTATTAGTTTACAGAGTTTTGTGTCATCTGCAAACACCGAAACATAACTTTCAATGTTGTCTTCAAGATCATTTATAAAAATGTTAAATAGAAGGGGTCCCAGAACAGACCCCTGCGTAACACCACTTGCCACCTCTGTCCAGCTTGAAAATTTACCATTAATGACAACTCTTTGTACTCTGTTTTTAAGCCAATGTTCTAGCCAAGAACAAGTATTTCATCTAGACCGATTTCCTTGAGTTTGAACACTAATCTATTGTGTGGAACTGTATCAAATGCCTTGGCAAAAATCCAAATAGATCACATCCACTGCAACATTCTGATCTATACTTCTACTTACTTCTTCGTAGAACGCAATCAAGTTAGTTTGACATGACCTGTGCTTCATAAAACCGTGCTGATTTTTGCTGATAACCATGTTCTTCTCAAGGAATTCTTGAATATTATTCCTTAATAACATTTCAAATATTTTCCCAGCCACAGAAGTTAAGCTCACAGGTCTATAATTTCCAGGCAAGGATTTTGAACCCTTTTTGAATATAGGAACCATGTCTGCCTTCCTCCAATCCTTCGGAACACTTCCTGAAAGGAAATAATCTTGAAAGATTAAAAACAGAGATTCACTTATTTCTACACTTAGTTCCTTAAGTACTCGTGGATGGATACCGTTAGGCCCTGAAGCTTTGTTTATATTAACTTTCTTTGGTTGCTGCAGTACCTTGTCTTGAGTTAACCAATTACAATTATTCTGCAAGTTTTTAGTAGCAATCATTTGCACATCTCCTGCCATGGGTTCTTCCTAAATATATACGGAGGAGAAATAGTTATTTAAAATTCCTGCCTTTTCCTGGTCTTCATTAACTAACACCCCTGTTTCAGTTTTTAGTATACCTACACTTTCATTTTTGTTTTTTTTAGAATTTATGTACTTAAAAAATGCTTTGGGGTTGGTTTTGCTCTCTTTAGCTATCATTTTTGAAGTTTAGCAAATCTAATTGTCTTTTTGCACGCATTATTTGCATCTGATTTGTCCGATTTAAATGCTTTAAATGCCCTTTTCTTATTTTTAATCTCTTGTTTTACTTCTCTACTAAGCCACATTGGTTTTAATTTGTTTCTTTTATATTTATTTCCCAATGGTACATACTGAGAAATGTACCTTTCTAATATTTGTTGGAAGATGATCCATTTATCCTCAGTGTTCTTTTCACTAAAGAGTTTATGCCAGTCAATATATTGTAAAGCTGCCCTTAACTTATTGAAATTGGCCTTTTTAAAATTATATGTTTTAGTATACCCCATGTGTTTTTGTTTTTTTGAGTTTATTTCAAAGGACACTATATTGTGATCACTATTTCCCAAGAGCTCACCTACTTGAATGTTGGTCAAAAGATCAACGTTGTTTGTTAAAACCAGGTCCAGACAAGCGTCCATTCTAGTTGGTGCTTGTACAAGTTGTGACATGAAGGTGTCATTTAACAAGTTTAAAAACCTAATTCCCTTTGCTGAGCTACTAGTCCCTCTGTCCCAATTTATGTCTGTGTAATTAAAATCTCCAATAATTAAAGTGTTATCCAGATTTGCAGCTTTCTCAATTTGCTCAAACAACTGTTGTTCCTCGTCAATATTAACATTAGGTGGTTTATAACATATCCCAACCAATAGTTGGTTTCCCTTCTTTTCCCTCAAGCAGATATTTACCCATAAAGCTTCCACATTTTCCTCATCGCATTCCACTTGCTTAAGATTTGGCTTTAATTCATGATTGACATACAAACATACCCCACCACCCTTCTTGTTTTTCTTATCCTTCCTAAATAACATGTACCCATTTAAGTTAACTGCCCAGTCATGTGTCTCATCCCACCATGTTTCATTTATGCCTATTATATCATATTGTTTAGTGTATGCTACTGCCACTAGTTCCCCCATTTTGTTATTTAGGCTCCTTGCATTAGTAAGCATACATTTAATATCATGAGTTACTTGTACTTTTTGTGAATTATCAACATTACATAGCTTCTCTGTTCTGAGCTTGCCCCTCCCCCAGTCTCCACCCCCCTTATACTGTGCTAAAGCCCATCTCCTTTCTGTCCTATCTCCATTTGTTGATTGCTATGACCCTCCCCCCACTACTAGTTTAAAATCTCCTCCAACCTTCCAGCAGACCCTCTCCCGTTTAGCTGCAATCCATCACTACTATAAAGGTTGTACCCAATCGCAAAGTCGGCCCAGTGCTCTAAAAACCCAAAACCCTCCTTCCTGCCCGAAGACTTAAGCCATGCACTGACCCCTCTAATGTCCCGCTGCCTTTCCACTGTAGCGCGTGGCACAGGTAATATCTCAGAGAATACCACCTTGGAGGTCCTTTTCTTAAGTTTGCTACCTAATTCCCTGAAATCATTCTTTAGGACCTTCCATCTTCCTCTTACTTTGTAATTGGTACATGGACCATGACCGCTGGGTAGTGATGTCCCGAACTGTTCGCCAAATGGTTCGCGAACGGTTCGCCATGGTTCGCCACGAACGGTTCGCCGCGGACTCCAGTCAGCAGACACATTCCAGCCAATCAGCAGCAGACCCTGCCTCAGAGACGCTCCCACCTCCTGGACAGCTCACTAAGAATTCAGCTTCAAAATGGATGCTGTCCAGGAGGTGGGAGGGTCTGGGAGGGAGGGTCTGCTGCTGATTGGCTGGAATGTGTCTGCTGACTGGAGTCCGTGGCGAACCGTTTGCGAACCGTTCGGCGAACAGTTTGGGACATCACTACCGCTGGGTCATCCCCAGCTCCTCCCAATAATCCATCTACTCTGTCAGCAACATGCTGGACCCGAGCACATGGGAGACAGCAAACTGTCAGGTTGAGCCGATCAGAGCGGCAGATTGCCCTATCTGCTCTCCTAATGATAGAGTGGCAGATTGCCCTATCTGCTCTCCATTTCTTTTTTCCTTTTTCAGTCTGATAGATTAATGCCATTTTAATGGGGTGAGTAATTTAAATCAAACAAATCTTAACTTTTTTTTCCCTCCTGTGTACCTGAGATTAGCTCTAGTTTATCTCCAGAATATCTCCAATCACACACTTTGAAGCAGCACTTAGATGTAGCAGCCAAGCTATATTAGCCAAGCTAATGACCACAACCCTTATATAACTCCTAAATGCACCACCCACTAGGAATGTTTAAAGGGACACTATAGTCACCTGAACAACTACAGCTTAATGTAGTTGTATTGGGAATGTACAAATTAAATTCATACAACAACATTCATACAACATACAAGATCGATGTGTGTATATATATATATATATATATATATATATATATGAGTGCCCACTTCTTTCTAATATATATATATATATATATATATATATATATATATATAGGAGGCTGCACTCACCTGAAATGTAATATATATATATATATATATATATATATATTTGAATATTAGAAAGAAGTGGGCACTCATAGGACTTTTGTTAGAAATAAATTATGGTCCTTTCTCAAGACAAATTAGAACAATTACAACATTGTATATATATTGCAAAAATAATTAATTAATTTACTTACATATAAGTAACTTTACATATATGTATGTATATGGCTCAAATTTTCCACTAGGTATTGTTGAGTCAAAATGTAGTCCTGGCAAGCAGAAATTCACCTCACATGTATTTGCCATTTATTCTCCAGGCGTGCAGTGGTGAGTACATTTTATGGCCTGACTAGTAGCAGAGAACTTGCAATTTTAAGACTTTCAAGGTTATTCAATAAAATAAGATTTCAGGTTGAATTGAAAGTGTATTTGAAATTCAAGGTATAAATGGCTGGACTGGAGACATTTTCTAAGTCAGCCATGCTTCTAGTTTGGCTATTTTGGTCTTAAATTTGACATTCACTTTGAATTCACCCTGGATACTCACGTTAGTGAATCACCCAGTTACATTTTTAGCTGTAAATGCATTCTTTCATATAAGAGCAAGCACTCACTGTATTGCGGTTTATTTAACAGATGCTGCAAACAGTCAAAGGCGTGTAAATGCTTTTTTGGTGTTAAACATTTTAGCTAATCCATTAGGGAAGGATGTGATGATTTTCCAGAAATAACTGATTGAAATTGTGGTATAATATATATTTCAAAAGCAAATACAATCAAATCAATATTTGAAAAATAAAACTCCAAACATGTCTTGCGAGTTGGAAAGGTTTTAAAATTTAACAAATATACTCTATAAATCTTTATATCTTTTAATGTCGGAGACTCAAAAAAAGTGGTTTGAAATATAAAATACTTTAAAATAGTCTGTAGGCTTCTAACTTTACTGTGTGAATGGATATTCATTATATGTAAATGTGTTAGCAATCTATCAGCTCCAAAATATGTGCAGAACATATTTAAGCTGCGACAGCTTCAATTCCAATGCTATAAATTCAAGACAACCTAACCAAATGTGCTTCATGTCTATTTAAGACATTTATGTCAGGGTTCAGATATTTTAAAATTAAATGGCATTATTCATGGCTTTCCATCATGGTTTTTTTCAGAAATATAATAAAATCTCTTAGAGGTGTTAAAAACAGCAGCTGCTTTTGAATGAAACTACTTTAATCTTTGGGTACATTCTAAGATTCTTCTTTAGAGAATGTGTAACCCTTTAAGCATAAAGATTGCACTTTTCAGTGACAACCTTTAATCGATATGGATTTGCTAAATTAAATTAGATCATCAAAGAGAGATTATACTTATACACGCAAAAAAGATCATGTTTATTGTGATAAAAAATGGCCAGTGGAATTTTGTGGAAGAATTTGTGAATATACTAATGAGATGAGTAAACAAAAATTAAATGAGAAAGATCGGTTAATTAAACAGGCACCATAGACATTTTTTTAAAGTGGTTATGTTGTCTGGAGTCTGTACTGGCTCACAGTTCAATGTTTAACTCTTTTTGATAGGTTTAATATAAATGGGGATCACACTCCACATTAATCAGACTAATTCATAACAGCAATGGGCAGGAGTGATAGGCTGAGAGCTCTCAGCTAACTTTTCCAGCCTATCATTGCCACTTGGGCTATTGGGTTACTTTTGTTATTTATTATAATGTGCCAGTTAGATAAGATAATGGTTATAAGCAAGTAGGTGTACATAAAACATAATATGGAATATATAATATACTAGTAGTATAAATATAAGCACAGAAAAAATAAATGAATATGTTTACAAGTGTTACAACCTAGTCTTTAGTCCTAAAGATATTTAAATAGACCCAACTGATAGATTTATTCCTGACATATTGCTTGCCCCTCCAAACAGAGCCTACAGCAATTTATGGTTTCCCAAGTGTGGTTCAAAGATGGCTGAGAACCTTTTGAAAGATTTGGTGCCCTGCAACTTCTGGATTTTCCCAAAACTAAAATCACCTTTAAAAGTGAAGAGACTTCAGGCCGTCCATGATATTCAGGTAAATACGACCAAGCAACTAATGTCGATTCCCACAAAGGATTTTGCAGAGCATTTTGAACAGTGGAAGAGACGCTGAGAGAACTGTGTGAAGCCCTAACGTGCCTACTTTAAAGGGGACGGTGGTTTCACATGTACTATGTACTATATACAGTGTTTCTTGTATCTTCTTTAATAAATATTTTTCATATTACATGGCTGAATACTTTCCGGACAGACTTTGTATTCATGCCTATCATTCAGTATCCATGCACTTGTTGGACTCTTATCTTCTTGGTTATTTCCTGGTTAAATAATTATCAATTTCACTTCTGAGGAAGTAAAAAACAAAACAAAAAAAAAACACTGGAAAAATACAGTGTAGGTACATTTACTTTTTAATTTTAAACACTTAATTGACAAAGTAACAAGTATGTCGTTTTCATTTTTTTTTATTTTTTTTTTGCTGTGCAGGAGTTTTCAATCAAGCTTGCCATGCCACTGTAACAATAGCATGCACTTCAGGAACAGACATCATGGCATTTAATAAAATTGCACATTTTGAGAGTTATGGTAGACAAGAGTATCAGGCTGGTCAGACAAGTCTAACTGTTAGGCAAAAATCCAGACTCATAGGACTAACTAGACATGTGGAGTGTAGGTAAACATGAAGATTTAGAAAGGTTATAAGCTATATATAGAGTGAAACATGTTCTGCAGTTTTACTATATAACATGCTCGCTAGTAACTCAAATGAGTAGACCACTGGTTAAGAAACTAAACTTTACGTTACATAGTTACATAGTTACATAGCTGAAAAGAGACTTGCGTCCATCAAGTTCAGCCTTCCTCACAAATGTTGTTTCTGTTGATCCAAAAGAAGGCAAAAAACCTGGTCTGAAGCGCTTCCAACTTTGCCACAAACTAAGAAAAAATTCCTTCTTGACCCCAAAATAGCAGTCAGATGTATCCTTAGATCAAGCAGCTATTACCCCACTAATTAGAAATTATATCCCTGTATGTTATGTTTTTGTAAGTATTTATCCAATTTCAGTTTAAACATCTGTATGGACTCTGACAAAACCACCTCTTCAGGCAGAGAATTCCATATCCTTATTGTTCTTACTGTAAAAAACCTTTTCTTTGCCTTAGATGAAATCTCCTTTCTTCCAGCCTAAATGTGTGACCTTGTGTCCTATGTATAGCCCTGTTTATGAATAGATTTCCAGATAAAGGTTTGTACTGGCCCAGAATATATTTGTATAAAGTTATCATATCCCCTCTCAGGCGCCGTTTTTCCAAACTAAACAGATTTAATTTTTTTAACCTTTCTTCGTAACTAAAACGCTCCATTCCTTTTATCAATTTTGTAGCTCGTCTCTGGACCCTCTCCAGTGCCATGATATCCTTCTTTAGAACAGGCGCCCAAAATTGCACAGCATATTCAAGGTGTGGTCTTACCAGCGATTTATAAAGAGCGAAAATTATATTTTACGTTGCTGCATTACTTTAAAGAAAATCAGCTATGACTAACAGAAATAATAGTAATAATAGCTTTTTTGCATGACATAAGATGGAAACCAAAGTGGCACCCGCCAGTGTGGGTGACCACAGATTGCAGGTGACGTCCTGAAGCCAGGATCAACCAATTCCCCAACCAATTCGCCAAGGTGGTGCCCGGAAAATCCCCATGCATGTCTGCATATCCACACCATTGTTGTGCACCTCTCCAGCTCCAGACTCCTGCAAGGGCTGACCTTGTCACTCCTAGGGCTTGGAGCCTCTCCATTGCGAACGCCTTCTCTCTCCATGTGCAGCACGAGAGACCAGGATTAGGCTGTCACTCTTTGTGGCTGTTTCTCCTTGCCCAGGAGCTCTGCAGCGACTGTCTTCCTCCAGACCCTTGCTTCCAGATGCCGTGTTTTCGGCTCTTATGCACCCACTGTTTGTGTCTCCACCTCTGCGATGCTGTGTGGGGAATGCGCCAGATAAATACAGTGCCGTGGTGTCGACCTGCAGACCACAGGGTACCTCGGCTCAAACCACAGGAGTACGGGTGAGAACCCGATTGCTAAGTTTCACACAGAATTGTGCACATAGGCAATCGAACACCTGAAGAAGCGGATCCACATGGGTGGGTGGCTGTGGGTAGGCGTGTGTCACAGTAGGCCCTGGTGGGACAGCCATCTTAAGCTATAAGCTGAGAATTTCAACGTCTTGTAGTGTGGGTAACAAGATTACACCAGTGGGGACCGGATATCCCCCACCGGTCCAAAGGGGAGGGGAGCAGGGCTCAGGAACTGATACTGCAGACACCAGCAGGTCCAGGCTGGGAGATCAGCCGTTTCCCCCCTCCGTGGATCACACCAGATGTGTAGGCCGCAGAACAGTCCTAGGCCATGGGCTATGTGGTGAGGCTTTAAACTTGTTCAGGTGAGTACCCTAGCTTGCAGGGTCAGGTAAGTACATTTTTGAGCAACCTTTGAAGGTATAATCCCACCATAAAACAGTGGTATTAAATCTGTAGGTGAGGAGCACACACCATGTGCACCCATCTACCGTGATGGCCAGGCCCCGCCCCCGTAGTTTTCATTTTTATATTAGTTTATTTAGTCTTTAACTGAATTTTGCTCAATACATTATACAGGCAGCAATTGCACTACTAAAGTAAAAATATGTAGTAATGCGCATATTATTTAATGATCTTCTCAGAATTTCCTTACATTGGACCACAATAATCGCTAGTATACTTACTGGTCATGAGGACAGTTTCAAAATTTACTTTAGTTCCATTTTATAACAATGTTTTTCAGATTTTATTTAATTAACCTTTTTAAAATATTTTTTTATAAATGAGTAAATAACAATGTAGCACAAATTCTGATTTTCAGATAATATAGAGTAAATATTTTAAAAGTCAGTTTTGGGAAAATTGTGGACATTTGCTGGACTATTTATTACAATGTTTTTAAATTACCCTCTTATAGTAGAAATACAATACAAATTCGTATAAATGTGTAAAAAA